CATGTGTATCCTATGCGGTGAACATATTCAATATTGCCAATAATATGTTGCCTTACTTTGCACCTTTTCCATCGACGAGCATGGATCATATAATGCCGTTACGACTGCACTGATTTCACCTGGGATTTCACCTTTTATTTTCCTTCTTCTGTTTGTTATTGTTTTTCTAGCACCTGCGCACTTCTCCCGATATAGAAAACTTCTCTTCATCCAGACTTTTGGCTAATGAGAAACCCACTTTGATTTCCTGTTTTGCACATATCACAGCTGCCCAGGTCAAACAAGCTTTGCCCTAGCTGCGGCGAAAACGAAGCAGTGTTCTTCCAGTCCCAACAGCGGTCGGCGGAAACGGGAATGGTATGCATTTACCTATATATCTTCCTTTGGCTGTCTCCTGTTTGTGCAAGCTAACGTTGGGTATTCCGGATAGAAACTCTACTATGTGTGCTGCACTTGCGGTAATGTGTTTACTTGATTCCGGGGAGGGCGGTTGCTTTTCTTTTTTCTTTTCCTTCTTTTTTGGATTTGTACCCATTCGACGGAGTTTGTGGAATTAGGTGAGCTGGATATTAAGGCGTTCAAGAGGGCTCTAGGCGTTCAAGAGGGCTCTATAGTTTTGCGCATGTCTAGTTTGAGTGATTTTATCTTTATTCGTCTCAACATTCTGTGTCGGGATACACATTACAGCTTGGTTATCTTAATAATGATATTATGCAAGCGGTAGGAAAGAAAATAATACAATATATATTCTATACGACAATCTTACAAATGCATGGGTGCCAATGACAATATCTTCGACCAGCCTTTCTTCTGCAGTTCCTTTCCAACGACACCTATTGATAGTAGTCAGGATATATGCACTTCCCATTTGAAACTGAAGAAAGCAAGAAAGATAGGGGAAACCACTAGGACTAACCGTTCAATCTTGTCCCTATCGGATCCCCAGACTTATTAATAAGTACGCACGCGTTGTCATCAAACTTGACAAAACTGCCGTCAGGCCTCTGAACGTTCCTCGCCCTGACCACTACAGCATGGCGGACGTCTCCTCGTCTGACCTTGTTCGCAATGCCGCTGCTAACGCCGCCCATCTCGGGGCCGAAATTCCGCTGTTTCTGCACGACAACGATGATACGGTCGCCTGTGATTATTTTGGGGGAACATTTTGATATTAGATATTTGGCGTCGCTTTAAACAGAGGACTGAGAGGGACGGGAGGATATGAGGGTAGGGTTATATATCCCGCGCAAAACTCACCGATTGTGGCTGCCCGTTTCATTCTCAGAACACTGGCGCATTCGACGATGGCTGCTCCGGAGTTGTCGATGCAATTAAGCATCGTCTGGTTTCAATGAGGAAGTGTTAGTGGATATAGCTCTCTCTCTCTCGCTCGCTCTCCCACCGGCCAGTTATTTAGAAACCGGGCCTACCTTCAATTGGATCATCTTGGTTGCATGACTTGGTCTCTATCCCGCCTCCAAGTTCTGTTCCGCTGTTTTGTTCTTTTCTGTTCTGCCGTGATGATTTCCATATTCACCAGAGATTCGAGATCCCTGTCGCTTAATAAGCAGCCGAATATCTTGGTCAAGGATGAACTATATTCCGTAAATCTCCCAAGAAATGACAGCCAATCAGCACCCGAGCTCCCCTTTCTCAGTGGCTTAATCGCCGCCTGCGCAAAATACGACATGCAAGAGCCTCATCCCAGCCTTGGGTCCTCAAAGTCGTTTGTTCAAAGATTCTGGGGAGGGAAAACAAGAAGAGCCATGCTGCCGTTGTTGTTGTGTTGCCCACAATGATCGCGACTCTGCGGTTAACTACGTCCAACACCAACTGAACGATAACAGCGTTGGTTTCCCCAGGTTTGAGCATACTGCTTACAATTTTATCCATCCCTTGTTTCATATATCCATTTGTGTATTTTATTCCATATTATCCTTCCTACGTTCGGTTTATGTAATAGCCCTTACTGAATCACCCCATTGACCGCGTTGTGGAGTGAATATTCCCGCGGTTCCAATGGCGCCCAAGATACCGCCTCCTGACCGCAAAGAGAAGTTGACGCTTTCTCAACTCGCCAGCTATGATGATGTGATCACAGATGCTCTGGTTGATCGGGTTAGCATCCCTAAAGCAAATTCAAGACATATGGCCCCAAATTTCATCACATACGTTCTGGCGCATTTCCATAAACTAACTTGGAAGCTGGATGCTACCTGATATACGGTTTAAAGGCCTACTTCTGGACAAAGATCCGCAAAAACCGAACCAAGTATATCTCTTGCAGAGGCATCCTTGAAGAGCAGGTCACCGCCATCCTCCTCCACGATGTCATTGTCGGGAAAGACGTGCCAAAGGCTGAGAAAGCACTCCTGGCAATTCCGGGGCTGAAGAAATTCGTCGACCGCTTGAAATCCGATCGAGAGAAGGAATGGTTTCGTCGACACCTGCGCAAATACATCTCCATCTACCTGCCCGATTGCCCTTTCGAGGTCATGACAACCAAATCGCTATACCATAACCATCCACGAAGCGGCTGTTTTCTGCGCGCAAGTACATCGCCTCGGGGAACAACGATACGCGGGCTCAGCGGCACCCTTGTACCCATGACCCGTGAGGAGGAGATAGATCTCGATTTGACAAGGAAGGATTTCAGCATTGTGATGTCGAGCCGGAAGAAGACGCCGTCTATCTTTCTGGGCCCAGCGCGATTTGCGAATCATGATTGTAACGCGAATGCGAGGCTCGTGATGAGGGGCCCGGAAAGTATGGAGGTGGTCGCCATTCGAGATATTGTGGTTGGAGAAGAGATTACCGTCTCATATGGAGAGAATTACTTTGGTGAGGATAACTGTGAATGTCTCTGTCATACTTGTGAGCTAGCGCTACGGAACGGGTGGTCTCCAAATGGTGCTTTGATCAGTTCCAGAACGAATAGTGGTGCCTCCACGCCATTGGAATTATGTGAGGGACGAGATCCGTCTACTTTGTCGTCGCCGTCCTCGCCGGGGTCTAGTAATAATAATAGAAAAAGGAAACGCAATTCTGAGCTACAGCTTCTCTCCGCCGAGAGTTCTACCCCGTGTAGAAGGCGGAAAGTGGAGCGAAAGGCTTCGAACTTGAGGCTTGAAATGTCCATGCCTAGCAGTCCAGAAGCTAGTGAACCTTCTTTCCTCTCCACTCTGGATCACTCCCTTTCCGAATACGCAAGCAGTTGCAAGGACCGTATTATTGATGAGCCTTCAACTCACGCGAATGGACTAAATTCTCATCACGAAGCTGAATCTCTCCAATCGAGCGATGAATATAAAGCTGCTTCCTCTACAAAAAACAAAACGGCTTACTCCCCTTCTGGCGCGGATGAAACGCACAGCTCCTCCGTCACCTCTACATCTGCAACCACAGAGGCAACCTCAATATCATTAGACGTGACAGCAGTACAAATAAAAACAGAACCGCTGGA